TCCGGTTTGTCCGTCCTATCCGTCCTGTCTGTCGCAACTTCGCATTGTCGCTACACTAGTTAACTAGTGATCCTTGCGATCCTTGCACCCGATTCCTTGCCCCGCCATCAAGACCGAGCCTGTCAACTAGCAGAATAGGTCCTTTAGGTCATTTAGGGGGCTGAAAGGGAATTATGCAAGACACACACTCTCGAGATGCCATCCGTGATCAGCAGTGATGAGTGGGATCTCCCGCGCTTGAAAGCCTCAATCGTCTTTGAGGTGAGGCTAACTAAGCGAACATGTTTTTTCCAATGGCTCGGAATGTTCGGAATATTGAATATTGAATATTGTGTATTGACCGATCACTGCTTCTCAGGACGATTACCAAAACTTAGCACCCGATGACCAAGATACCGGTGAGACTATCTCGTAACGCATTGCCGCGTTGCCAAATGACATTATTTTCTAACCTTTGCCGCTAGAATTCTTCGATGTAAAATTCTACCCCTACTCAGACGTCACACACGATTCGGTCTTTGCCGCCGTGAGCAAAAAGCATGTTGTCATTTATCGCCTTTCCACTAAGATCAACCCCCCTTACGAGCTTGTTCAGCTTTTCAGGGATGACGACGTGAGTTTGCCACACCACCTGCATTCGTTTTGCCTTCACTCATGGTCTTGTAGAAAGACGCTTTGAATTGCAGCTGCACTTGGACTAAAGATCCCGAGACCGAAGTTCCCTATCTATGTGTAGCTGGAAAGGACGCTAAAATCAAGGTCTACGATGTTGTTCAAGGAAAGCTAGTAAAGGTCGGTCAGTTGTCGATATTAAACTTTGAATACCATGGCTAACATGTGATACAGGTCCTTATAGGTCACGGAGGAGTGAGTTTTGGCAGTGGACTGACTGACTATCCGAGAAATCCAAGCTGACAATTTTTGGAGGAAATTAATGATCTTGCTACGTGCCCTACCAACTTCCTTTTAATCGCATCTGCATCAGAAGATACCACCGTTCGGATATGGAGTCTCGACCCGGCCCATTCCCAACAGCCATGTGTTTGTCTCCTTGCCGGAGAAGGTCATTCGTCAGGGTTGTTGACCGTCGTAAGTGTTCCCAATTGCCTTTGTGAGTCTATTAACTTTGACTCATAAATCGAAGGCATACCACAATAGTGGCCGATACATTTTGTCTGCTGGTCACGACAACGTAATCTGCCTGGTAAGACGTCAATTTCCTCCCAATTCGTTCTATCCACGCCTTATTGACATTTAACAGTGGACACTTCCAAATTTGCCCCCAAAATCAAACGGCAAAAACCCCCCAACACCTATCGTAATTCATTATCCCCATTTTTTTACATCTGAGGTGCATAGTGGGATAGTAGACTGGTAAATCGACACCCTGAATCATATAGCAGTAGAGCACATTGTTAACACTAGCCCTATTATAGTGTAGCTTTCTTTGGCGATCTCATTCTTTCACGGGCTTGTCACGAAGATATCATAGTTCTATGGCGAATCGAGGGATTCTCGTCCCACGATCTCCCGCCCGAGATGTCTGAGGCACCCACAACGAGTGATACAGAACGTCTAACTCGTTCTGCATTCGCCCCGGCGACAGCATCGGCATGTCCGCCCCAGTATACTCGTCTACTAGAGTTCTGGACGCCGAATTGCGGTCACCAGTTCTACCTCCGCTTTAAGCTGTTTCATGACAAGGATAAGCACCCAGTATTGGCATTTGGCAACGCGAAGGCAACGATCTTCTTCTGGGATCTCGCGCGTCTGGGAGACTATCACAAATTCATTAGCGAAGTCCGAGATCCGGACCGTGATAAGGCCCAACCAATTTATCGTCCGGGCTGGCTTACTTCAGGCCAGCATAGACATAAAGGTGATGCTATCAGTAAGCTCAAGGATGCGGCTAGCGATAGGGAGTCAGTCGTATCGGGGCGCACCGGCAGCGTCGATGTCGAAACGCAAGTGGATACTAATACCAACTACCCCCAAGAGTCGTTAGAACACTGGGAGTTGAAATATGATATGACACGTGTGGACGAGCCTATACGAGCACACGCGCAGAGCGGTATTTCTGCTAAGGATTTCGTCGGACGGCAAGTAGCTTGGAGCGCTAGTGGCGAGTGGTGCGTCGTAGTAGGCAGCAAGAATCTCGCTGGAATCCTGCAGCGATGGTACAAGAAGGATCGCACAGATGACAAGGAGAAGAAACTAGCTAAGACTCCTCTAGCTGAAGGGAGCACTGAGCCTGTATAAGTTCGAGGGCGCATATGTCATCCGCGCCAGATCCCACATACCCATTACTTCAACGCTAGTATTTCGTATACTAGCATGATATTAGGCGACTAATTTTAATAAAACATTCAACTTCCCAATTATGGTCACCACATATCATGGTCCTGGTAATATTGAGAATGGCATGTGCGGCATTTCGGCATTTTGCACGAACTCCTATATCTCGACCAACTTAAAGGAATGACGATGTGGGTAACTATTTGGCTCCTATTATACCTTTTTTACTTATTCCCTTAAACACAAATGACTTCAGTATATCACATATCAGAGTCAGAGTCTGACTGCGTCTTTCAACATTTCATGCCGCCTAGTCGTGGGATAGCCTTTTTTGCAGGCTCTAGCTGAGGCAGTACGGTAGGTCGTTGATGTACTCGCACCAAGCATCAGGACCACAATCGCCGCCATCCTACAGATAGTCAGTAAGAGAAAAGGTGATCACGCAACAGATTTCACTTACAACGTACCACCCGTCAATATCGCAGACGAGCCAGCCCGAGAAATCAGACTTGCAGGCGTATTCGGGGGGCGAGCAAGGACACTCCTCTATGGGAACCTCTCCCTCGGGCTCGGGCTCCTCGGACTCCCCGCCCTCTCCCTCATCCTCACCTTCGTCGTCGTAAATACCGGTGTAGTTTCCAGACAACCCTGTGAAATTCCCGGAGACACCAGTGGAGTTCCCGGACACGCCGGTGTAGTTTCCGGTTACGTCGGTCTCGTTGGCGGCTAGAGCCGCCGTGATGAAGGCTATGACCATGAAGAGCTGCATCTTGGAGTTGGTAGAGATGATATTGGGAACTCGATGGTTAGTTTGATGGTGCTATTGATGACAAGTAAGAAGTCCTTATACATCTTCTTTTATATAGAGTGTGAAGCATACGCGCGGTTTCTCGTGGCAATTCGTTATGAAGCAACTATTTGAGCACCGTTGAACGTTCATTCTCTTCAAGGTTCACGATAACCTAGAACGCCGTAGTCTATCAAAGAAGTATGATCCCTTCCTCCAATGCAAGTAAAGAAAGCTTGGATACGACTCTTATGCCTATCATGAGTTTTCATACTCCGGAGAAACAGCTTCAAACTACGCAATTAGACCAGATGTATGATGGATCTCTTACAAGAAATACAGCGTGGTGAAACCTGGAAGGTGATCCCAACTGAATGGCCAGGAAATCATCAAGGTATTCGGACATGGCTTCGGGGCACACCGATGCGATCCAAGCTATCATCAACATAACTTACGTTCTAGGCGGGGAGCTATGGAAGAGATAGTCACAATGTGTTGAATTTGCACCGACATCTCGTCCCGCATGTCTGAGAAAGAAATCCGCATTGCAATTAACTCGGAATCTTCACGGGAACCCTCTAGATAGAATTTTAGTAATAGGTCATAGAGCTATCAAAGTAGCTACCTAGGAAACGGCCGCGGCGTTTTGAGCACGGATTGGAAATGAGGTTAGCATGTATAGTATACTACGTGGACACGGCTTGTTCATGTCGTAGGTACGGGAGCTGGCTGCTATGACCCCTTGATGTGTTTGCGAACGGTCAGATCGATATTAGTAGAATGCACTTCTGTTTTGACGTTAGGTTATGGCTCAATTAGGGAAACTTTCGAACCGGGGACTAGTAATGGACATTCCCGTTTGCCACTATGCCTCCCAACGAGTATAGTTTCTCAGCCTGTAACGCGCGTTACTAAAGTAAGCAGATCTTCATCTTAGAGCCTATTTCTATTCACGACTGATAATACGATGACTCGTCAACAGGTCTTCGAAACATCCTATGTGAACTGAGTAAACCTAGTATACGGTAATCTAAGTCGCCGCTGTATTTCACTGTTTCCCTGATGATATCATGAGATTTAATAGAGGTCAGACGGGATTCTACCTTGATTCACGTATACTTACGTGTACAGCATGAGGTGTCTAGAGCTTGCTACCTACCTACTTAGTCTGAATATAGGGTACGTTTAATTCGAGACTGCTGGCGATTTAGTCACCAACCACTAAATCAGTAGGGTGAACATGATGACATGGCTTCAAAAGCAACCAAATTCGGTCGATAACCTATCTGTTGAAGGAGAAAGCAAGCAGGTGCCAACCAGCGAGTCTGATTTGCTGCATGCAATATCTCGCGGACATTTCTTTTTCAGAAACTTATTTCATCCATAGGTACTTACCATCAATACGCAAGCCTAAATGTTTGCAGACACGCCAAGCGAGCATGCCTTTCTACCCGCTTGCTTCTCTATGCCTCCCTCACACCCTAACATTCTCTCATCCGAATAGCCTCTACCTAGTCATCGTCGTCTAGACTCTTCTTGTCCTGATTTCTTGCACAGAGGGCCTATAGAACGGGACTTGACCCTTGACCCTCCTCATGCACACGATCGGACGTTTCACCGCTTCCATACTCCAGCCACAGTCTCATCATTCTTGCACATATTCATTTAATTTCTTTTCATCTGTCGCATCCAGGGAAATAGGCCGCGATCACTCGTTTCTCGGTCCCGACGCTGCCATGCACACACCCGGCTGGTTACGTGGGGGTTGCTTTGGAACTGAGGGAACTTGAGTCTTGGGACTTCGGGTGCGGGGTTATACAGGTGTGGGTCGTAGCAAAATTTGCAAAACTTTATAGATCTCTCAGAATTGAAACTCTTCACGCACAAACCATGATTCCAATCTTGGTCAGGGCTGACGGGGCTTGTGGTTTAGTGGTATAATACTCCCTTAGCACTGTTAGGTCCAAATGGATATAATATCTACGTGGGAGTGGTCCGGGGTTCGATTCCCCGCGAGTCCATCATTTGGAGGTTAAATTCCTTCTGTACCATCTTTTTTTTGGTAATTTTGCTATTCTTTTTGGCTTAAGCTCTCTAGCGGTTGGACCCTGATTCTTTTAAAAATGGCAGTTTCCGTATTATAAGCAACTACTACTACTACTACAGCGCTCTTTTCCTATTTTATAGCACCCCTCAATAGAATTGTCCAGGGCTGTTAGTTCGTTGTGGTTACAGAATATTATTTCCATGTCACATTTAGTTGCATGAAGATGTCGCTATTGGGTAGGTAGTGTTTTTGTCTATACCGTGTTACTGCACCTTAGGTAGAATCTGTAATTATACCGAATATTTGGTAACCATAGTACCGCCCGTTACGTTACAACACGGGCGATGACAGCTCTCTACGACCACGACAGGATTTGATGGGCAAGTAACACGATGTTGCTCAAGGCTGTAGGTTTGCTAGCCACGTTCTCGATCATTGGTCCTTTGAAAAGGCGGACAGGCGTTTCTAAGGTCAACGTGCTGAATGCATAGGTACCTACTGTTTGTGAGTGTGTCCGGAGAAATGGCTTGATTGTGGCATGATACTTTCCATGATGAGTCCTTTGAAGAGATGACACACAGTGAATGACTGAGAAGTAGTATCCAGGCGCGCAGAAGTAGTCACGCGGTGGGCCAACCGAGGCGTCAAAATCAATTACTACTACCGGTGGTAACACGACGGTGGAATAATAAAAAAAAGATTTCTAGAGCAGAAGGGTTGACCGCCAATTCGAGTCGCAACGGCCAACAGCCAACAATCAGCTGGTGATATTCGACTTGAATGAGGGTCAATCTAAACATAGGCCAGCAGGCTTGTACGAGGCATAGTAAGCGAAGATATGAAACGCCCGTTCATCTAGGATGCTGTTCGGCGATGAAGGGTAGAAATTGTGTGCGCTCCTTTCTATTTTCGTAGTGGCTTGCTGGCTCACCAACTCACTAACTGTGTTCATAACCTTGATCATTAGTTTAAGTCTTGAGATGTCAACTCACTTACGCCAACTTGAATATTGATACAGAGTATATTTCAATAAATCAATGTATGAGCAGCTCTGAGGAAAGTGATAGGTACTGTTTATTTTGTAGGGGATATCGCGAAGGATTAAACGCAGTGAGCTAGGACCTAGGACCTAGGACCTAGTAGGTACCGACCAAAGGAAATATGAAAAGGATTCGGGTGTGGCAATGGAGGAAACAACTAGTAAATTATGAGTTTCAATGCGAGTGACAAGGTAATAAGTAGGTAAACACTCAGGCGAAATCGCTAGACTCAGTGAAAGTCGCACTGCGTAACTTGGAAAGGTAAATCAGAGCTGCTCTACATCGTTCCTACTTAGTGAGTACCCAACCTAAGTAGTAATAACCTTGAACTGTTTGCCAATGATCCATTTTCTTTCGGAGAGTTTAAGGAGTTTAAAAGAGATAAAAATAGAGCATTGGAAAAACCAAGAGAAAGTTAAGGCAGTCGCGCGGCAAAGACATGTCGAACATCGAAGCGTCTACCGACAGAAGTGGAAGTTGAGATGCTGTTGTTTCAAGTTTCAAAAGCCCCGGTTCTACAAGGACTACAAGGAAGAACACTAATTAACCCTAACTTAATGGCCAATCAGATCCCGCTATTACCTATTACTACCTATTACTACCTATTACCTACGTAGCAGCTACAGATCATCGGCAAGGGTCCCCGAGCTATACAGGGCTGTCCCTGGAGTCCTGGACACTCCTGAAAATCCATTCGACCATCTGGACCGTCGCGGGCTTTCTTCAACGACATTGTCCTTCCCAATAGACACCGCACCTATTCGACGCCACGGTTAGAGGAGCTGTTGTACATACAGATTATCGGCGCTCCTTAGGCTTGACCTCTGCCCGAATGATGTATTCTGGGCCATGGCTGTATAGATGCTAAACCCACGCCAGGGTCTTCCTTGCTATAGACGTCCATCGCCTTACGCAGTATACATAGTGGTGTTTGCGGCTGCCGATAGCGACAGGGAATACCAATCAACTCGATACATTATGTAGGAAGGGATCTAGGACTACGGTCTACCTAGTAGCTATTCTCTGTGCGCCCCATGTCGGTTTGTTAGACTACCATGGTGGTGAGAATATAATGGTATTGTTCCTCTCCTACTCCCTCCGCCTTAACACCTTACAATGGATTTACGCAGATGAACGAACCCACGTCATAAGTCATTCTTTCTTTACTGTTTCTGTTTGTTCACTAGTGTTGATTGCTCCTTCGTCTTTTTCACCTCATACTTGTTTCCTTTCTTGGGCACTGTGACCATAGTGTGAATTCGAACAACCGTCACTCTCGTCCGTTGTCCGACTTGATACACATCACTTGTAAACTTTTCGTCCTTCATTGATTATCTTCATCACCTATGACCTAAGAGACACCATCTCTTTTCACTGTTCCCTACAGTAAATTGTAAATATCATTCTTTTCTTCTACCTCCTAAGAGTGTTCATTACCTACATACCACCCAGTGTTCCTGTCTCGAAGCACAAGAAACAACTCCAGAACACAAAATAAAACTTGCAATTTCCGGGAAATTCATACAAATATAAATCGCTGCGCGATATCATTCTTTTTCGACCGCAAATACAAACATGCATATGAAATCTATCCATGTTGCGCTGGCAGCAGCGGCGGGGGCGGCGGCATTTACGCTTCCAAAGAATATCAACATCAATGACGTCTCATCTGTACGGAATGTTGCTGGTACGCTTGCCTGGGAACTGATGGCATGGTACAAAGGAAACGTAACAAACACCCCGACTGTATGTATTGCCATATCTCTGATCTTGTCTGGATTGAGTCATAGCTAACCTGTTGTTTGGTAGACTATCGCTGTTTTCCCCGAACCATACTGTAAGATTTGATAACCCACATCTGCTTGTGATATGAAATAATGCTAACATTGGATACAGACTGGTGGGAAGCCGGCGCTGCTTGGGGTGCTATGCTAGATTATTCGCATTACACGGGCGATTCGAGTTACGATGCTGTTATCTCGCAGGCGCTATTGTCGCAAGTCGGCCCCAAATTTGATTTCATGGTCCCGGAGCATTACGGTTCGGAGGGGAACGACGATCAAGCTTTCTGGTCCTTCGCCATTCTCAACGCCGCCGAGCGAAACTTTCCCCAGCCCGACGACAGTATCCCGCCTTGGCTCGATATCGCGGTGAATATATGGAACTCCATGGCTGCGAGGTGGAATACGTCAAGCTGCGGCGGTGGCTTGGCTTGGCAGATCTTCGAGTCCAATCCCAACGGAATGGACTACAAGAACAGCGTCTCAAACGGCGGTTTCTTCCAGCTGTCGGCACGACTAGCTCGGGCGACGGGAAACAACACATACTTGGAATGGGCGCAAAAGGTGTGGGACTGGTCCGAATCCGTCGGATTTATCGACAGCAAATTCAACGTATACGACGGTGCCTCCTCTAAGAACAACTGCGACACGGTTAATAAGCTGTCCTTCTCCTATGCCCAGGGCATCTACATGTACGGCGCCGCCGTGCTATACAACTACACGGACGGTAACAAGACGTGGGGCGACCGCACGGCGGGCCTGCTGTGGGCCGCGGACTCGTACTTCAGCCCATTCCCCAATGCCACCAACATCATGTTCGAGCACGCCTGCGAACCGTATGAACTCTGCAACAACGACATGAAGTCCTTCAAAGGCTACCTGTCTCGTTTTATGTGGGCCACCACTCGCATGATGCCTTCGACCCTACTCCGCGTCCAGACATTGTTAAATGATTCGGCTGTCGCGGCCGCGAAAGCATGCTCCGGCGGCACGAACCAGACCGTGTGCGGCCAGAAATGGTACGTCGGCGGCTTCGATGGCGTGACCGGGCTGGGACAGCAATTGACGGCGCTGGAGACTGTGCAAGGTTTGCTTGCGCAACATGTGACGGCTCCGTTCAAGGCCGGCCAGATCAAGCATGTCAAGGGTACGGTGAGCGCGTCGTCGTCTTCATCGGTCGTGGTGGCGACGGCGTCATCGACGTCGACTGTTCTAGCACCGACTTCCGCAACAGCAACTCCATCACTCACGGCTACGCCCAGTGCTTCGATAAAGGTAAACGCTGCACGTAGCTTGTGTGCTGATTGGAGAGTGACGATACCGTTACTATTGGGCTATGCTTTGATTATGAGATTTGCATGATGGGATAATTAGGTTGGTCTGGTTTCGCATGAGGGCGAGGATGTGATAGGTGGGCGGGGCATCGACATAGCAATCGGCGTTCGGGTTCTCTCTCGCTAGCCTCTTTACCGGAAGTTGGAGATAGTGAGAGGGTTGAATTGTTTGACTTGACTTCGTAGGATACCACATTTAGAATTCAGATTAGATATATCGATATATCATTGAATCCCTTTATCATCAACGCCTTGGTCCTAAACACTACTCCCGCATTATACAAAGCATGTAGAGTTGCATGGTCTCTCTAGACCAGAAAGTCCCCTGCATAGTCCTCAATGCGCCTTCCCCTTCTCCGCAAATAGAGGACAAAAATCAATAGAAAATGTGCCGTTATTACATAACGCAGTTTCATTACAATCCGCATGAAACGTTTCCACTTTATGGAAACTCTGGTCTCGGCTGGTGCGCTTGAATTACCTATGCTTCCATCTTCTTAGCCTCTATTTTGTACGAAAGGTGAGGTGGTTAGGATGACCTACTAGTGTCCGGAACAGCAGTACATGTGTGGCCTCTTGTAGTAGTTCATGCAGTTTCCGTTCTTACATTGGCGCATGGCGTGGCGGCCATCTGGATGGGGATACGTGTCGGGATCCATCGCGTGTAGCCATTCGTGAGTCGGTGTGTATATGATCCTCTTGCGTTTGGTCGCTCTGGCTTGGTAGCAGATCATGATATCCCGTTCGTACTTGGTGATCAGGCAGAACGGCCTGTCGGTTCCGTGGGGGTAGTGTTTTATATGGTCGACCCGCTGGCCG